TGATATGATGTCTTACCTTCAAACATTTGGGAAGAAAAAAATAAAATAAACCAATTTTTTATTCAATAATGTTAGGTAGCTCAAAATTTTGTGGCTCAAATGACTCAAATCACTTAAAACGACGTCGTTTTAACAGATTTTGAGTGTAAAACGACGTCGTTTTGACAGATTTAAGTCATTTGAACCACAAAATTTTGAGTTACCAAACATTTTCCTTTTTTATTTGGCTACAAACAAACGGTGGGCTAAACAATGCCAGACGCGATTTCTTAATTGAGGCTCTCAATTTCACTCTGGAGGAATTCCATTTTCAATTTGCGAGAATTTCACGTGGCCAAAATTCATATGAAGTGGTCTCATACTCTCATTTCTCTCATCTTTAACCTCCTAATTCCATATGAGGGTGAATTTGAGATAGCAAAATTTAAGTATGAATCATTTTTCTTTTGATAATTACAAAGACTCATATATTTTTTAAGATTTTAAAAAACAAGTATTAAGTGCATTATAATTATTCAAGTACTCTATATTTAAAAGGAATTTACCTTTATGTCCCAAATTCCTTTGGAAAGATAGTTTGTGACTAAAATAGTCACAAAAGACAAAATATGCTATTTTAGTCACAAAAGACAAGATATCACATCTAATCCATAATTATTACATTCTTTTCTCACAAAAAAAGTCAAAAAAGTCAAAAAGTCAAAAAGTCATTCCCAAACCAAATAGCTAAAAAAGTCAAAAAGTCAACTCACTTCCCAAACCAATCCTTAAGGGTCCACTTGGCATGAAGGTTTGGGTTGAGTTGGACTACCTTAGCTATAAAAAGACAAAATAGATTTTTCAGCCAAATAAAACAAAATGTCACATTCAAACCATAATTATTTTATTTTTTCTCTTACAAAAGTCAAAAAAATCAAAAAATTTATTCAAAACGAGACCTTTTAACCCTAAGCTAAAATAATTAAAAAGTCAAAAAACCAATTCACATCCCAAACAAAGGTTAAAACATACTCATTTTGCTCTCGAGCTGCACTCCCGTACCCATGTCATACCAAACACTTCACATAGCATGTATGGGTTAAGTAGCTGATACTTGCACAACAATATGTTTGTAATAGTATATTTCATAGTGTATAGATAGTTTTGTTATCAATGGGCTAAAATAACTTAAAATTAAAAAAAAAACACTATAAAAAGTCAATCTATTCTTTTGATTTTATGTACATCTTTTTATAAAAATTAAAAATTTATTAAAAATATCAATTTTCAAACGAATCCTTAACTTACCTTGGCTCCAGTGGGGCAACTCTTGCCAGAAGACTAGCAAGCCCAAAGGGCAGCCCCTGTCCGTCAAGCACTCCACCAACTATAGAAACTCCATAGACTCCCTCAAACAGAAGCCAGTTTCTGACATTTCCTAAAACATTGGAATTCAACGGAGTGACGGGCGTGACGGACATGCCATCAATACGAATAGTTATAGCGCTGTTTTTTACAGCGCCCTCCAAATATTCAATTTAAAGAGCAATTATGCATATTCAATTTGTTTTTATTTATTTTGCACTAAAGAATAAGATTTTTATATATGTAATAAAATTTATAATATAGAAAAGAAAACGCTTTAGTTTAGTCATAAAATACGATTCTAGAGGGATTGTAATTTTTTATATTTTTTTGTGCAAATAAAGATGTATTAATTGAAACTATAGAAAAACATTTTCAAAGGTAGTATAAAAGTATGTTGCAAATTGAACAAAATTTTGTCAATTCACTACAAGAAAAGTGGGTTTATGAGACGGAACTATTTGCGACGACACACTTGCCGTCTCAAAAAGTCACTTTTTGCGTCGGCAGAAAATGCCGTCTCAAAAGAGCAGAGTATTTGCGACGGCACCATTTGCCGTCTCAAAAAAGCAGAGTATTTGCGACGGCACAATTTGCCGTCTCAAAAAATGGGAGTATTTGCGACGTCAGAAAATGCCGTCGCAAAAAGTGACTTTTGTGTTTTTTTTTTTTAGTGAATATTTTTAAAATTTTAAATATTTTTTTTAAATGCACCTTACTTAAATGTATCTAAAAAAAAATTATGAATTTTTTTTAAAAAAAATTAATAAATACATAAAAATACAAAAAAAAATGTATTGAATTATTGTATTTTTGGTATTTAGTGAATTTTTAAAAGATTTTTTTTAAAATTTTTAAAATTTTTAGGTGTATTTATGTTAGGTGTGTCTAAAAATTTAAAAAAATACTGAAAATATTAAAAAAATTCAGTAAAAACAATATAACACAAAAAACAAGAAAACATAATTTTCTCAAAAGAGTTTTTGGAAAACTCTAACCTAGCATGGTGGTTGTGGTTTTGAGATAGCTTCATATATATACAGTCACAAAATGGTTTGAATAAATTCAACGGTATTTTTCTGTCGCAAAAAAAATTAAAAAAAAACAATGTCGTCTTACTCTTTTGATATAACATTTCTCTTTTCATTCATTTTTTCATCTTCATGTCTCTCTGTCTCTATCTCTCTCTTCTCTTTATCTCTTTCACTCATCACTCTTCTTTCTCTGTCTGTCTGTTTCTCTCTCTCATTTTCTTTCTGTGTCTCTCGCCTATCTCTTTTCTCTCTATCTCTCTCATCTGTTTTTTCTCTCTGTCTCTCTCGCTCATCTCTCTTCTCTCTATCTCTCTCATTTCTTTTTTTTTTCTCTCTCTCTCTCTCTTATCTTTCTATCTCTCTCGCCCATTTCTCTTCTCTCTCTGTCTCTCTCTCTTTTTTTGTGTCCTTCTCTCGCTCATATCTTTTCGCTCTATTTCTCTCTCTTTTTGTCTACTCTCGCTCATCTCTTATTTCTCTCTCTTTTTCTATCTCTCCCTCTATCTCTCTCTTTTTTTCTGTTTATCTCTCTCCATGTCTCTCTCTCACTCATCACTTTTCTGTCTCTCTCTCTCTCTCTCTCTCTCTCTCTCTTTGTCTACTTGTCTATTTGTCTATTTCTCTCTCACTATGTTTGCCTTGCACACTTTCTTACTTCCATCTTCTCTATTTATCGAGTTCCTTCTCTATTTATCGATCCACTATAAACGACGTCGTCTTACTCTTTTGAACGTTTCTCTTTTCACTCATTTTTTCATCTTCCTATCTCTCTATCTCTCTTCTCTTTCTCTCTCTTACTCATCACTCTTCTCTGTCTGTCTGTCTCTCCATTTCTCTATGTGTCTCTGTCTTTTTTTTCTCTCTCTCCCACTCATCACTCTTCTCTGTTTGTCTATCTCTCTCTTTCTCTCTTCTCTTTCTCTTTCTCTCTCTCACTCATCACTCTTCTCTGTCTGTCCGTCTCTCTCTTTCTCTCTGTGTCTCTTTCTCTCTCTCACTCATCACTATTTTCTGTCTGTTCGTCTCTCTCTTTCTCTCTATGTCTCTCCCTCTCTTCTCTTTCTCTCTCTCACTCATCACTCTTCTTTGTCTGTCTGTCTCTCTCCCCCACTGTGTTCACCTTGCTCACTCTCTCTCTCGTCTCTTCTCTATTTACCGAGCTCTCCACTACAAGAAAATGCACTTTTAGCGACCATTTTGTCTCTCTCTCGCTCATTACTTTGTCTCTGTCTATTTCTCTCTCTCTCTCTCTCTCTATCTCTCTTCTCTATCTGTCTCTCACTCATCTCTCTCTCACCACCCATCTTCTCAACCACATTCACCACTACTGCAAATGCCATTCCACTACTACCACTGTTGTCACTCCACCTCTACAACTATCATTACTACCACCATCGCTACCACTCTACTACCACCTCTACTACTACTATTATTACCTCTTATCTACCACCGTTATTCTATCTTCTCTACCACTACCACAACTTCACCACTTATCTCCTTCACCATCACTACCACCACCACTTTCACCACTACTGCCGCTTCTATCCTCTACCAAAAAAAATTAGTTCTTGATTTTTAGTAACCAAAAAAAAATAAAATGAGTCGCAAAAAAATATTTTTATTGACCACAAAAAATTAACTTTATTTTAATGAAAATTATTATCCCTATCTCTACCAAATAAAAAAATAATAATAAATTTTTATTCATTAAAATAAATATGAAACAAATAAATTTTCAACCTTACTAAATGAAAAAAAAAAATTCATCAACTATAAAAAAAAATTTAATAAAAAATAATTTTTTTTAACAAATCCTCCATTGCGGAAAAAAAAAAATTTATTATTTAAATATTCATTTGTAATGAAAATAAAAAAAAAAAATTTCCAAAAAAACTCGGGTTCCTCCCACCCCAAACCCAAAATCCCTAATCTCTCCCCCCTTTTCCATTCCCGCTCGTTTTTCCCCCCCTCAACCAAAAATCCCCAAATCTCAAATCCCTAATTTTTGAACTAATGAAAATAAAAAAAAAATTTCCAAAAAAACTCGGGTTCCTCCCACCCCAAACCCAAAATCCCTAATCTCTTCCCTCTTTTCCATTCCCGCTCGTTTTTCCCCCCTCAACCAAAAATCCCCAAATCTCAAATCCCTAATTTTTGAACCAAAAATCCCCATCTCTGTCTCTCTCGCGACTGTGGCAGACGATGGCTTTCCCTCTCCTGCTCTCATTCCAGTGGCTTTCCCCATCTCTTGTTTTTTATTTCGGTTTCTCCTCCGATCCGTCTCACAAAATGTCGTCCGTATACGGAGCTCGATTGATAACTTTTGAAGATTCAGAGAAGGAGATAATTTTATTCAAGGTTTTATTTGCTTACTTTGAATATATACGGTTAATTTTATTGAGATAATTTTGATTGATTCAGTGGGTTTTTATTATATTGTTCTGTTTCATATAAACAAACACAGTTTACATCTTAACTCTTCTTTGCTGTCTTCCTTTCTGGTTTTTGTGCTTTCTTTCACCTTTTCTCTCTCTCTCTCTCTCTCTATATATATATATATATAATTCTTGTTCATACGTGTTCTTGGTAAGAATTATATACCATTCATGTTTTTTTTTTCCTTCCATAATTTTTCAGAAAATGAGTTTTTTTTTTTTTTTTGGCTGAATATATATAGGAAGATGAATTTGTAACTGTAAAGTGCTTTTATGTTGTTAGCTGTGAATACAAGTCAAGAATGGGTTGAAAATAAGGGTTTATATTACCATTTTTGTATGTGTTTATATCTTCTCTTGGTCGGGTTGTGTATAGTAGGAGGTGGTCCAGGAGCTATATTTCAATGATTTGTCCACATCTGAGTGTCTGGCTAGCAAGTATCTGTCTCTCTCTTGCTAGTTCTATATTTTCATTTAGTTTTGAGACATGGATGGTGGTTGAGCATGAGAAGGTTTGTGTTAAAAAAACCAGTTCTTCTCTTTTGCATTAGACATTGGCAGCATGTTTGGTGTTCTAAGTGCGTGACTAAATCCATCATGGTTGCTGTCTGTTTAATTGTTGATTTTGTTTTGTGCTCTAAAATTCAGGTCTTCATTGGTCCTGTTCCATGTCATAAGCACATATTGAAATAGAAACTGATAGCTAACAAATGAATTGCTCTCTATCATTTTTGTCACTCATGGATGGAAGGAAGTATCGCAAACGGCAGTGCTCAAGGATTATGAAATATCTTTTAAGGATTATATGAAATCTTTCAAAGCATACATCTTTGGTGGTATAAAATACATGTTCTCCATTAGTCTTTCTCTTCTCCTTATATAAGATGAACTTCTTGAATGGCATTATGAGAATTAATCAAGTTTTAGATGAGCTCTATATCGCAAAGTTTAAATGATGTCGCAAATATTCAAAGTGTGCAGTAAATGATGTCGCAAAGTTTGAATGTTGTGAAATTATATTGTGCTTTTGTTATTTAAACTTAAGAAGATGCTATGGCTAACTTTTAAAAGAATTGGTTTGCACGAAAATGTTGTTGAACCATATCAATTTGGCATATGATGATCTAAATGTGTCTCAAAATAAAAACCTAGTTGTGAATCTTAGAACTTTTTGAGTGATTTTCTATTCCTTGCTGGACGACCCTCTTATTTTGTTCTTGCAGTCTCAAAGCATTACACAAGAAATTAGTCATGGGGGATATTTTGCAGAGGAAAAACAACACAGAAGATACTTATGGAGATAACTATTGGTGTTGTGACAATCAAATTGTCCAGGCAGTATGGACACTAGTCCCCATGTGTGGTTTGGATGATGGGAATAGTTTTATGGCATTGGTGTCTGATTTTATATCTAGGGTATTATTTTTATTTTTATTTCAATGTCTTTGTTATTGTTTGTTGCCCATTGTTTTGTGTTGATACTGAAATGATTGTGTACTCTTTATTGTGACTGCAGGTTGGTATTGGGAATCCTCATAGCGTTGTTTTTCATCTCCCTGGAGATTCTGGACAGACACATGTTTGCCGACCACTTAATCCTGATAATAGTACAGAAATTAGTTTTCGCATGGACACTGGTATATCTGAAGAACTTCTGATTTCACTTATGCGGCTTCTGAAGAAGTATCTGATTGACGACTCTGTTAAGATAATTGATATGACATCACAAACAATTCGGGTGAGTTCATAGTGCATTTGGATTTTTCTATGTTTTCCTAGTGAGGTTTTATCAAAGATTGGGTTAAGATAATTGATATGACGTCAAAAACAATCTGGGTGAGTCCATACTACATTTGGATTTTGCTATTTTTTTCAAATGAGGTTTTACCATACCAACCATGTTTTGTGCTTGCCAGACTCTCTTTCATTGAATTTGATGTATGTGCATTTTGTTTCATGTTTTCTTTGTACATTGAAGATATTACACTATTAGAAGAGTGTACACTGTTTGCTGGTTGCATTAGTCGTTAAAGGACACTTTCTTTTAAATATGAATTACAATCCTGGTTTCTGAGACCATGCTCAATGTAAGTTGTGGGTTTGTTTCATTACATAAAATACAAAATATTTTTTTGTTTGGTCATGTTTTTGTGTTTAGGGTGATTATTGGTCAGTTAAAAGTGGAAGCTTATGTAGAATGTCAATGAAAATGATATAAAATTGTCCATAAAAATGTTATAAAATTGCCATGTATGAAAACACTTGGAGACACCACTATTCAGATGTATAGATAAATGGTAGAGTTTATGTTATTTCATTAAGGGTAATCTTGTAATTTCTCAAACTATTTAATGAAAATACATGGGTCTGGGATGGGAAAAGTGACTCATTATAAAACCCTATTTTTGTATTATGCTTTCTTTTTCTCCATCTTTTCTTTTCTACTTTTAACTATCCATTGTTATGGGTTGCGATAGATTCTGTTTCAAGGTGAGTGAAAATATGGATTCAAAAGAAGTCACAGATGCTCACCCAATTTTAAGGAAGAGAATTATTTTTGTTTTCCATTTAAACACATAATTATGTATTTCAACTAAAAGTTTGAATTATCAGTTGAAAGACCACATGGAATCTGTGCCTAAATTTAAGATTCATGACATACATGTGAACATAGTTTGAATTTATGGTTTTAAGTTATTATTTGTGTATAAAAGGATTGAAAACAAATATATCCTAGGAAGAGAAGTATGCACATGAAAGATCATTTGAATGATGCACAGAATAATAAATTGAAGCTATAGCCCCTTTGAACTTTGTTAAATGTTATTTGAGTATTTAGTCAAGGGTAATATAGTCTTTTTATACTCTCTCTAATTATATTAGTAAACTACATGTATTTTGGTTAATTAACACCCTAATACCTTTTAGTTCTCTTTATTCCCAATAAACTTAAAACTGAAATTTAAATTTGTTGAGATCTCAATTTTATAGGTAAAGTTGATATATTGTGAGATTATTATGTCATAATATTAATGATTTAAATTGTTCATCTCATATGACAAGTTGAGAAAAATATACATATAAAAAATAAATTGCTCAGATGTAAATAATTGTATGATCAAATCACATATATATTATAACAAATTGATGATCTATTCTTAAAAATATACTGTTTTTGTTTTGTTTTGTTCCGCTCTGTTTGTTGGTTTCTCACCATCTTGGAGCCTCGAGTGTGTGCTAGCAGATGATTTGGTGTGCGTTTAGGTGCCAACCTAGTTGGGATCCAAATGTTTCACTGTGATGCTTTTTACATGTAACTTATCATACTTGTTATGTTTTCCATCAATAAAGCTTTCTTTTGCCGATCAAAAAAAAAAAAAAAAAAAAAAAAAAAAAAAAAAAAAAAAATTTTTTGATTTTTTTTTTTTTTTTTTTTTTTTTTTTTTGTTTTTTTTTTTTTTTTTTTTCAATTTGTAGAGAAAACTAGCAAAATTGCTCATTGTTGATAGTTGGTGTACCTTTTGTTAGGGCCTAGTCCCTTTTTTTTTTTTTGGTGGTACCAAAAAATAAAATAAAAAAGAGGTTGAAATGGAATTGTAATAAAGTGTATCAATTTAGGTAATAATTATTAACTTTAATATATAAAAGAACTTTTTAAAAAAAAAAAATTGAAGAAAAGAAAAAAAAATTACAATTTTTACATCTTATAAGGGCAAAAAAGACAATTATATAGTAAAAAACTATTTTACAGCTTATTTAACCAAATACTACTCTGCTGCGTAAATTTATAATCCCACAGTTGCACTAAACAGGTTAACAACTTTTATTTAAAGTTAAAATTTATAATCTGCTAAATTATAATCTATAATCACTTATTTATAACTGTACCAAACAAGACCATTGTATCCTATTCCATATTTGAATTGGTCTCCTATCCCAAATTTAGATTGATTTAGTGGAATCACTACTAAAATTTCAGTTTTTTGCGACGGTAAAGTTGCCGTCGCAAAAAGTCATTTACCGTCGCAAAAAATTTTTTGCGACGGCATTAGGAGTATTAGCGACGGCACTTTACCGTCGCAAAAAACTGAAATTTTAGTAGTGATTCCACTAAATCAATCTAAATTTGGGATAGGAGACCAATTCAAATATGGAATAGGATACAATGGTCTTGTTTGGTACAGTTATAAATAAGTGATTATAGATTATAATTTAGCAGATTATAAATTTTAACTTTAAATAAAAGTTGTTAACCTGTTTAGTGCAACTGTGGGATTATAAATTTACGCAGCAGAGTAGTATTTGGTTAAATAAGCTGTAAAATAGTTTTTTACTATATAATTGTCTTTTTTGCCCTTATAAGATGTAAAAATTGTATTTTCTTTTCTTTTCTTCAATTTTTTTTTTAAAAAAGTTCTTTTATATATTAAAGTTAATAATTAGTACCTACATTGATACACTTTATTACAATTCCATTTCAACCTCTTTTTTATTTTATTTTTTGGTACCACCAAAAAAAAAAAGGGACTAGGCCCTAACAAAAGGTACACCAACTATCAACAATGAGCAATTTTGCTAGTTTTCTCTACAAATTGAAAAAAAAAAAAAAAAAAAACAAAAAAAAAAAAAAAAAAAAAAAAAAAAAATCAAAAAATTTTTTTTTTTTTTTTTTTTTTTTTTTTTTTTTTTTTTTTTGATCGGCAAAAGAAGTTGTAAATAAATAAAAAAAATCTTAAAATTCAAATGGTTTTTCCTAATTTCATAAATCATAACTTAAATCCACAAATTAGTAAGTTTAGGGTTTCACTGAAAAAGAGAACAATTAAAAAAACCCTAAACAATTTTTTTTTTCCATAGTGTAAACATATATATATAAATATAATTGGTTGTAAATAAAAAAAACAAAATCTTAAAACTCAAATGGTTTTCCCTAATTTCATAAATCATAATTTAAATCCACAAATTAGTAAGTTTAGGATTTCATTGAAAAAGAGAACAATTAAGAAAACCCTAAACAATTTTTTTTTTTTCCATACTGTAAACGGACATACATATATATATATATATATATAACTGGTTGTGCACAAAAAATAAGATCAAACTTACAGCTCGTCGGAGATTGGGTGTAAGTTTAGTCTTCTAGATTTCGTCGAAGATAATGGTGCCTCCGATCGGCTTCAGATCTGCGCACGTTGAGATTCCATCTAGGCAAAACAAAAATGTTTAAGACCCCTTTCCCCCCCTCCTTGACCCCCTCTCTTTTTTGATTGGTCACTTTTTCTTTTCTTTTTTTTTTCCTTCTCATCCAATCACCACCTGCCACATGTAGAGGGAGAGGGGTGGTGGGGGTGGTGATTGGAGGTGGTGATGTGAGAGTTCTTTGGATTCTCTAGAGCTCTCTCTATATTCTTAGATGTAAAATGAGGAGAGAGAGTAGAATAGGAGTATATATATCTGGTTTCATGGTAATATTTTGTAATGATATAGGACATTTAAGTATTTTGACTTCTTCAGTTTTAGCTATTCGTATAATCTGAGGGTTGTTTAAAATGTTCTAAATAAGTGTATTTTTTGATTTTTTTTATAAAATATGAGTTGAGTTTGAAGTGATGTGGTAGATAGGTGATCTAACTTAAATAAGATGATGTGACTTAAATAGGATAGTAACTTTTTAACTTTTTTAAGACACCCCAAACAAGGCCTGAATTTGAAAAGCACCACTTGAGATGCTTTTTGAAATCAACTTTTTCCTTCACATTTAAGTTGCAACAAGTTATAAGTTGCTACCTTGTAAGTTACACCAAACACACCATTTCAACTTAAATTAAGGTAAAAGTTGAAATAAATTATTTTTAAGTTATACCAAACACCCACAATATTCTAAGACTCACAGCCGTAGAAATGTTAATCTCATTTCATTCAGTCGCTTAAATAAAGAAAGTGTTTATGGGTTGAAAGTTGGAAGAAATATAAATACCCAAACAAAACTAAGAAATATAAATACTTTCAGTTCAGGGTACCAAATACGGCCAAAGGTACTTATCTTAGTGATAAAAATTAAATCAAAATTAAATATTATAATTATTGTTGGAGACGGTTTACAAAAATTTGTTCAACCTTGATTCATCTTTTAATAGTAAAAATTATTCGATTATAATTAATGATAGGGTGACCAGAAGCAATTGATAATAGTACTCTTAAACGATTGAATTCTTTTTCTAAATCAGATATATATTGCAAATTATCATTAATTTTAGAATATCAAAAATTAAAAGCATAATAAATAAACATCACACTCATATTTATTAAGAGTTCGAATCGTCTGCCGTGGTTGTCTGCGGCTGTCCAAAACGACATTGTTTTGGACCTTCTTTTTTTTTTTTTTTTTTCTCCTTCCTCTTTAGCTTTTCAGCCTCTCTTTCACTTCATTATTTTCAAAACACCACAGAATAGAGAAGAAGTTGTTCAAGATGGAAAAAGAAACATCACGACGGCAGAGTTGACGGGAATGATTAGGGAAGCCGATAAACGTGGTCATCTCCCTCCGATCTGCTCCAATGGTCTCAAATCTGTTCCGATCTGCATCGCCATGAAGAGATTGGTCTCAGACAACGAATCTTCTTGAAACATCTTTATAGAGCATCAAAGATCCTTCGCCGAAACAAAAAAAATGGAGTGGGTTTGATTTAGTTTTTTTTTTTTTTTTTGGAACACACTATGGGTTTGATTCATGAAATTGTTTTCAAATATTGTATCAAATATATATTCTTGCAAATATTGTATCAAATAATTCTGCAAATGACTTCTTGTAAAATAAATCTTACATATACATATATATATATATATATTTGATTGAGGCCTTCTTTTGGACTGAATCTCTCAAATTTGTGTTCGAAATGGTTTGATTTGTACTTATATGAGTTTGATTGGCTTAAGTTTGGTTCTCAAATTTGTGTTCGAAATGGTTTGATTTGTACTTATATGAGTTTGATTGGCTTAAGTTTGGTTCGGATCTGATCTTGAATCGCTCCAGCAATATTCGCATTTGCAATTTTGGTATTTCTTTTGAATGAAATTCAGATCTGGTTCATCATTACAATGCTAGTGCTTGTGTGTGTGTGTGTGTGAGAGAGAGAGAGAGAGATGGATAACAGAGGAAGAGGTGTAGATAATTTTGCAAATTTTGGTGATGGTACTGAGTTGAATCCATTCTCTCGCCATCCATCTTCGTCTCTGTCTGTTTGGGTTCTCTCTGACATTTGAGAGATGAGAGAGAAGAAAAAGAGGCTTAAAAACAAAAGAAGGGGAGGGGGAAAAAAAAAGGAAGCGCTGCAGACAACCAAGACAGACGGATCTGGACTCATTTATTAAACCGAAAGCAAAGAGTAAAGAAGAAACTTACAAGAGTTCACAAACTGGGAAACAAATAGGGCAAAGCATACACAGCCCGTCACACTTATCTTCACACTCACGCTCACACTCACACTTCCTTGACACTCACACATTGATTAAAACTTAAAAAACAGCTTCTAGCAACATTATCCCAGTAAGAAACCATTTCTCTAATAAGTTTAGTCAAAGCATATTAAGAATTTACATTAGGGTTTACCAGGACGTCAACAACATCATCATTCACGAGCAACAACCACCACCTGTTTGCCGACATTGTGACCGGCAAAAAGCCCAATAAGAGCTGCTGGCGCACTCTCTAGGCCTTCAGCTATGTCTTCCACGTATGTGATTTTTCCTTCTTTTATGTGGGGCAAGATCATGTCCAGAAACTTCGGATACATGTGATAGTAATCGAAAACTATAAATCCTTCCATACGGACTCGTTTTGTGATAAGACAGAACAAATTGTGAACACCTTCGGGTTGTTCAAGGTTGTACTGTGAGATCATACCACACACAGCAATGCGACCGCGGAGTCTCATGTTGAGAAGTACTGCATCAAGCATCTTTCCTCCAACATTTTCAAAGTAAATATCGATGCCATTTGGAAAGTACCTGGGAAAAAGTTTAATTAGAGGGGTACATAATGAAGATATTGAATTGGGGAAAATTGTGATTTAAAAAAAAAAGAAAAGAAAAAAATGACCAACACTTTTCTGAAGAAATATATTGTTTGTTAACGTTGCCAATTCCTTGTTTTCTGGTAGGTGGGTGGTGGCAGCAATGGATGGTGGCCAGACGTGGAGGAGGAGGAGAGAGTGAAAACTTGTTTTGAAAACTACTGAACACCATTTTTTCATTTCCCAAAAAAGTGAAAAATTTAAAATCAATTCCATTTTTTTGTAAATGAAAACAATAAACCAAACAAGTTTTAGTTTCTAGCTTTCAAAAGAAAAAAAAAATGGAGAAATGCAATCTTCAACAAACGACCCCAAGGAGTTGAGTTTTGGACACCATCTATTTTATACAAGGTAAGTCAAAAGGTGGCTTGTAGAATTTCATGCTTTATTCATAGAGGGGCATTCCTTGAACAAGGTTGTCCATATTAGCAGCCATTCTATCCAGCAATGTACTCAGGCTCTAAATCTTTTAGTGTCGTTATGTATTTCTATACAAGAACATGAAATGCTCACCTTTTCAGAGCAGCTTCCAAGACCTCCTCTTTATAGTTAAAAGCTTCATCAAACCCAAATTTGTTCTTCAACAGATCAACCTTGGTTGAAAAATAGTAAAAGAAAGAAACAGAAGAACAAAAAAAAGAAGAGAGTCAGTGACCATGCTTGCTCTGACCCAGCATAAAATATTCTTTGGCTAAAATCTCAAAATTTGTGAGAGTTCTGCAAACATGCTAGTTAAGGAAAAGGTGTCAGACCACATACATTGATTGAGCAATCAATATAGTTCTCACTGGGCCAGCCACTAACTGGTTATTTTAGCATGAATAGCATAATGGAATGTGGAGGGGCACTCACCTTTTCTTTGGTTCCGGCACTTCCAACAACATAACAGCCTGATAACTTTGCAAACTGCCCAACAAGCTGACCAACAGCTCCAGAGGCAGCTGAAATGAAAACATACTCTCCTTGCTTAGGAGAGCATAGCTCATAAAAACCAGCATAGGCCGTCATACCAGGCATGCCTACAAAATGCAAATTCAAAGCAACAATTGAGAATCCCCCCCCAAAAAAAAAACAAACAAACTAACAAACAGAGAATTTGATAAAAACATGAGTTCTGCACATCTTATAGAGGGAAGCATGATAACTAAGGCTTTGAAAATTCCAAGCAATATATGCCCTCTGATGGATTGAATTACTAACTGAACTATAACAAAATGCTTGCCTTCTATGAAATTTTAGCAATAAACTTCATTAATTGTCAAAGTGAGAATACAAAGCCATAGATCTAGAAGGAACAATGAAAAATGTCGCATACTGAATTCACCTTATCCTAAAATCAAGTAAAAAATTATCTACCCTACAACAACTGCCTGAAAATGTCAAATGAAAGGTGGTGCACAGGACTTTAAACAAGTGATGTGATTCTACTTCACCAAACAACCATAATGTCCACAAATGGACAGAAGGATTAAAATTACTTCATCAGTTGCAAGTTCATCATAGTGAAGGAAAAAAAAAAGAAAAGAAAGTTTTGGATAGAATTAAGTCGTAAACTAATGCTAGTATGCATGAAAAAATGCTATATCTATCAATCACATTGCATAATAATAGTAATAAATAGATTGAGTTAATATATTCAGTCTAATTAGCGGAAAACTGCCAGCGCAAAAATAAGAAAGGAAGCTATTCATTAAATTAAAATATAGTAAAAGAAAATGTACTTATCAAAAAAAAAAAAGTAGTAAAAGAAAATAGAGTTTCGTGCAAACATCTGTAATCTTGTGTGTGTGTGTGTGTGTGTGAGAGAGAGAGAGAGAGAGAGAGAGAGAGTCTTCCAATGCTACATCCCCAATATCATTCTTCAGACACCAATAGGATCCATAAATTTAGCATGTCTAGTTACAAGTTACCTAATATTCAAAATTGGATCTAAAGAAGCTTCCCAAAGACCCCATATATTGGAACAAAGGCTAGTGCAATTAATGACCCATGATGTCATTATAGAGATGCAAAATGACAGAGAGGAGATTTCAGCAAATATGGGAGAGAGCAATTATTATCACTAATGCTAGTAAAAGATACTGGGAGCTCATTCTGTTCAAATGTCAAGCAGTTAGTTCTCAGAATGAATGTTCTCATAATATTAATGCCCAGCCCAAATGATCGCCTTGATGATCTCATTGAGTATAATTGTTGACCTTAAAGTTAGACAAAAATAAGTGAAACAGAGAAAACTTCTTTCAACTTCATGTCCTGCTAACCTCCTCAAGCAGTGATGTTGTGCAAAGATAAAATGATTCTTGTAACTAAAAAAAATATAAGAGAACTTATTATTTATTGCACTTGCAGTAGTTGAAGCAAACAAATTAAACAAACTCACCAAGGATTCCTATATAATAAGAAAGAGGCACATTTGTATTTTGAATTTTAAATACACTCTCTGGTGCTTTAATGACACTATACTCTTCCCATCCAGTCATTCCCCAAACCAAGTCACCTTTCTTAAAGTTTGGATGTCCAGAATCCAAAACTCTAGCCACTCCATATCCAATTATAGGCTGAAAAACATCAACACGAAAAGTCACTAGCAATAAAAAAAGAAAAAGAAAAAGAAAAGTCACACATGCAAACTTATGATTTCTCAAAAGACCACAAAAAATCCTAAACATTGTAGCTAACAAAACATAAACAATCACTCTATGGAAAGAAATAAAATAGACCTTTTGAGTCCCTAAATTCTGGAGATGTTTGATGGAACAAAATAAATAGTACAGGAAAATTTTAGTATTGGATTAGTATAGCAGGAAAATTTGAGTGGATGGTTTTATTTAATTGGAATTTAAGGGTCATGTGCATGTGCAATGTGCACTAACTAAAAGGATAAGAGGAAGGCCAAGCATACAAGTTGAGACAATGAAAAAGAACATAATTTTGCCTTGGATTTAACCAGGATACAACATTGGACAGACCCAATTGGTAAAGACAAACCCTTGTAGCTAAACCCCAAGTAAGGGGACTTAGGCTTGTTGAGTTGAGGTGAGGTGAAATTGTAAGCTCAAATTCAAATGTTAATATTATAATTAAATCATTTTCCATCAACCATTATCATGTCTCCGTATCTAGAAATTCAGAGAATTTGTTAGTGGATTCTTTTTATTTTGTTAATTTTGAGTTATTAAATATGCTCAAAAAATAACTTTAGTTTTCAAATAATAAAGTCGTGTTTTGGAATGGAAGTGCTCCTTGTTTTGGATTGCATATCACAGGAGACATGATCCCAAAGGTTCAGCATCCAACAATTAACTACACTAGAATTGAACATTTAGTCTAGAAAATTGCAGACAAAAATAGCCTATTGAAAAAAAAAACAGCTTAAAAACTCCTACCAAAATCCCGGCATTGGGGAATTAGTGTCTTTTGGGTAACTGTGAAGTGTTGACTCATATCAAAGTGCTGAAATAACTCTACAAATTATGAGTATTCTAATCCTTCACCAAACCCAAATTTGATGAAAATTTTAGTGAAAATGAGATTCATCAAATTTGTTTCAAATTAGGTATGAATCAAATCTTTCACCAAATTTCCAACTATCACTTTAAGTTTGATGAAATTGTTGAAAGATGAAAGATTGGAGATGGGTTATTTTTTTTTGCCATAATTGGTTAAAGGAGTTTTTTGGGATAGGTTACAGCATAATTAAAACTCAAAAAAATAAATACATAAAAATTGGGAATCATACAAAATATTTGTGATGATAACCTAAATTCTAAACATCGCAAGAGACTAGTAAGTGGAATTGGAGAGCAATTTGTGAGTTTTGTTACAACAGTTTCGTAATTCCCCAAATTTTCAACAACTTCTGTAGGTTTTGACATACCCATTTCTATTCTTCTACTATAACAATCATCCAGATCTTCCCATCAAATAGAAAAGAAGAAAAAGGACATCATCAGCAGTTGGGATCAAGATAAAAAGATTAAAGGTCTAACTTCACTTTATCCTCATCTATTTTGTATTTTGAGGCATGTGCGGTTTGTTCTGTAAGGTGTAGAAATGACCACATAATCCCTTGTGATTTGTGGATTGAAAACGATTTAATAAAAAAAGACTAATATACTCCTAAATTTTTGTCATCATTTGTTTGAAAGGCACGATGTACTTAACCCCTATACTTTATTCATTAACCAAAAAAAAAAACTCTATACTTTATTCCATGTAAGATTTACGTCTTGAACTTTAAAAATGAACATATAACCCTTATGTCTGCAACGTATTTCACAGAAGCTGTTAAGTTAGACAAAATATTTGTTGGTACTCTTCCGTTTACAAACCACGTTCAGATTATGTGATTATTTTCAAATGTTAAGGGTACATGGATAAATTTGCCCAAGATTAAAATATAAAATTCAACATAGCCACTTAGTCCTCTTCTACATAGAGTATTACCAAAACACGCCCAATTTCCCATAGTTATCAAACAATCTAGATCTCTTCCAATCAAATGTTTCTCCATTCAATATATACATATATAGTTTCAGAATTGACTTACAGAACCAGGAGTGAAGGACTCAACGTAGCTATCTTCCGTCTTCCTCATGCGGCCACGCATGGCAGGATCGCAAGACAAGTAGAGATTCTTCACTAGAATGGCGTTCTTCGAACCCTCTGGAAGCTGGAGACGAATGGTACCAGTCTTCACCACCATGTCCGACTCTTTGGGGAAACCGCTCACGTACTCCTTCAGAATGATCTGTTTGTTGCTCACTTCCTCTTCCACCACCTCCATACCAACAAATCAAGCTCTCTTTCTCTCTCAATGAGATTTGACGATACAGATATAGAAATAGATGGAAAATGTTTAGGGGCGTTAGAGGAAGAGAAGAGCTCTAAGAGTGGGTGTTCTGACTTTAGTTTTTGTTTTTTGTTGTTTGCTTTTTTTCGAAAAATGCTTGGGAGTGCTAATTAGTGCTCCCACTAATTAGGTGGCAGTGGGTCCCGTTATTAATGATGTGATGTTTTGGTCTTGGAGTTGTATTTTTTTTTTTTTTTTTTACTTTTTTAATACATTAGTGCTATTAGTGGTGATATTTTTAATGGGATGAATCATTGTTGGCTTTTTTTCATCCTGTTAGAATTTTATTTATAGAGTCCTATATTATTGTTGGATATAGATATAGAGAAGCGCGAGTGCGCCTAATGAATAAAGCTGATTGTGACATTAAAGACGGAGATAAATTAGAGCATTTGTAACGTTTATTTTTTTAATTAAGGGTTAATTTGGCATGTACTAAATAAGTTAAAAAGTTAAAAAGTTACTATCTTATTTAAGTCACATCATCTTATTTACATCACATCACCTCTTTAACATATCATATCAAACCCAACCCAAACCCACCAATAAATCAAAAAGTACACTTTTTTAAGGCATCCCAAACCAACCCTAAATTTAAATAAAAATTTTATTTGATACATCACTTGACTTAATAGAAAATTTTAAATTTTTATTAAAGTACTAATTGGCTAAACGGATGTTCGACTAGTCGATCAGTTTGATTTGATGTAAATTGACCACAATCTATAAGGTAATTTTGTAAGGAAGAGTGAGAGGGGAGATTTGCACCTGACTGTATGGCCGGCCGAGCTGAGATAACGTCAGATGTGACGGACCGCGTAGCGCCGAGGTAATCTCTGTTGACATGGCAGCGGCCTGCCTTGCACGGTAGGAAATATTGACCGGTCAGGCACCAACTGGCATAGCTGAGCTGCGTCTTGAACGTGTTGGACGGAGCTTGGGTTAGCGGATGCTGACCGGGCTAAAAGGTAGCCCGAGCTAGTCCGTAGGCGCGATCAAGGCTGGTGCACCTTGGATCGGTCAGTCGATATAAAGTGGCTTCGTGTGACCAAGATTGAAGGCAGACCGGTTGGGGGCCGGCATGCCTCGCAACCGGATGGTCATGATGAACAGACCAATGATAGTTCGGCCGAGGTGGGCAGGCTTTCGTCTGATTCCAAGTTATAGGTCGGCGACACATAGCTCGGTTATGAGCATGTAATAGCGACTCTCCACAAGTGACAAGCCGGTCGTGGTACTCCGGTTAAGTATGCCACCTGGGCCAATGGCGTGAAGGAGAGGACATCCGCTCCACGCACGCCTCAATACCGTTGGATAGTTCTGTGTGTACTGGAGGGAGGACTAAGCCTTTACATGCGTAAGGTGGTGAGAGGCGAACACTGCCACCTGTCCAGGGAAGGACAGCAGAGGTAGTGCGCGCACAATCTTGAGGCTGCATGGCCAGCCTAGAAATATGGAGGAAGAGGGACGTTGGAGGTAAGCAAATTCATCCTATCAAAAACTCTCTCTCTGATAACCTTCTTCTTTAGCTAGTGGTCTGACTTGATCATCGGAGGGTCTTTCCGGCACACCACCGCCGGACAGCTCACCATTTTTGTGTTGCAGAGATAGACGCCGTCACAAGAAGCTTGAAGACCAAGGAGTACAGAGAACAAAGGATATTTCGCCTCCATACAATTGGATAGACGCCGTCACAAGAAGCTTGAAGACCAAGGAGTACGGAGAACAGAGGATATTTCGCCCCCGTACAATTGGCGCCGTCTGTGGGAAGTTTTTTGATACTCAACCCTTGTTCTCAGAGCTTCTTCGATCATTTCCATGGCCAACAACGGCGAAGCCCCACTGTCCGTCGTCGATGGCGTCACCCCTGAGTACGCCCACTTGAGAGAAGGTCCTCTGAATATTCCAGCCATGGCAGGCCTAGAAACTCCTTCGCGGAGTGCGCGAGACAAACGCGGAAGGAGTGCTGATTGCTCGCAGAGTCCTGGAGGCTGCAGACGCCGGGGGGAGTCCCATGCGCAGCGCCTGGAGCACAAACTCAAGGACCAAGACTCCGTCATTCGCAAGATAGCGGCGGAGATGGAGCTGCTGAAATGCCAGATCAAAGGGAAGGGTGTTGCTGGAGAGGGCAACCTCAGTGAGCGCACCCCGTCCCCTCATTGCAGCAGTCGCCACCAGGGGAGGACCCACTCTCTCTTCATCACCAGGAACTATGGGGTTGGAGGCTCCAGCCAAGAGGAGGGCAGGTCCCTCTCTCGCGACAACACATACCGCCCCTCACGCCCGACGCCAACGTCGGGATCCTCTTTCTCCACACCTTCCAGGGACTTGAGGGATGTATTGGAAGAGAGGGCGCGCTGTCGGGAGGCTCGAAGAGTGCCGGCACTGCAGAGGTTAAGCGCTCTAGTGCATTACAGTGAGGAAGTGGCGATGCCAACCCCCAAAGTGATGGCCCCTGCGCTGGAGGACAAAGAGCTGGCGCGACTTACAGCCACGCCGCTGTCTCCAGAGATTGAGAGTACGCCACTCCCCACCGGATTCCACCAGCCAAAGTTCACTTTGTACGACGGCAAAACGGATCCGTACATGCACGTGAGCCATTACCGGCAAGTAATGGCTAGACACCGGCGGAATGACGCCTTGATGTGCCTCATATTCCCAGCAAGCTTGAGAGAGCTGGGTTTGAAATGGTTCGAAAGGCTCCCATTGGCAAATAACTGAAAGAGTCCCCCAATTCGGAATGAATATCTCACTCATATTCCCAGCAAGCTTGGGAGAGCTGGGTTTGAAGTGGTTCGAAAGGCTCCCGAAGGGGAGTATTAAGGGGTGGCAGCAACTAGTGGAAGCCTTCGTTACCAGATTCAAAACCAACACACAAACGCCGAAGGAGGTCGACCATCTCCTGGGCGTCAAGATGGAGTCTGGATATTCGTTGAAGGCATACAATGCGAAATACTGGTAAACTTACAATGAGATCCTCGACTGCCCCACCAATCTGGCGATCACTCAATACAAACGGGGTCTCCCAGTCGGACATAGGCTACGAGATTCACTCACGATGCATCAACCTACAACCATAGAGTCATTGATGCAGCGGATCAATGAGCACATTCGTGTGGAGGATGATACCACCTCTGCGACTGAGAAGGTTAATCCGGTCGCGGCGGACAGGAGGGTCGCGGGGAAAGTTCACTCGGTTGGGCAGGAGGATAGCCGCCCAAACAACCGGTCGAAAGACCAGCGCCATGGTCCAAACCGTGATGACAGAAACAAGGGCCGCTGAAACGACCGGGCAGACCCTCCCCGTGATGCAGCGGAGGATGCCAAAAGAAAATTGAAGGCGCGGACCGGGATCACCACGGTGTTTAAAATCCCCATCTACCGCATTTTGAGCGAGATTCGAAGCGAACCCTTCGTCCGTTGGCCGGCCAAGTTGGGGAGTGCCCAGAGAGGCTTCAATTCAAAATATCGCTGCACCTTTCATGAAGAACGGGGGCACCTAACAGAGTACTGCCTGCCGCTCAAGTAACACTTAAAGGAGTTGGTGGCGGCGGGGCATCTTGACCAATACATAGATGGGGGCATCAAGGCCACGCCAGCAGACCAAGTCGAGCCAAACGGCCTGGCCGCCCTAGAAGCGCCCCCGCAAGGTGTAATCAACGTCATCCACGGAATCATTGAACCGGCCAGGGTTTGCGAGCTGAGGGGGATGATCAAGAAGGCCGAGCACATGAGGGAAGTGCTCTCTGTTCAGCCCGCTGTGAAGAAAGGAAAGACCGAAGAAAGGGACATCCTTTCATTCTCAACCAAGGACTTGAAAAGAGTTCAGATGCCGCACAATGATGCCTTAGTAGTCACTCTTCGCGTCAAGGGCTTTGATATCAAGAGAATCTTGATCGACCAGGGGAGTTCGGTCGAAATCATGTATTATGACGCGTTCAAACAGATGAAGTTAGAAGACAAAGACTTGGCCCCTGCAACGTCTCCTTTGGTCAGCTTCAACTCACAGCCGGAGTGGCCAATCGGAAAGATTATTTTGCCGGTCAAAGCGGGTTCAATAGTAAAGCAAGTGGAGTTCTGGGTGCTCAAAGTTCCATCCACCTACAACTTGATCTTAGGTAAGGGCTGGCTGCACGCCATGCAAGCGGTTGCCTCGACCTTCCACCAAGTCATGCGCTTTCCGGCGTCGAGCGGGCAAATAGAGGAAGTTTGGGGAGACCAAGTGATGGCAAAACAATGCTTCGTTGCGGTAAATGGCAGCCGAGCAGCCAAAGGGGCCCGAGAAAAAAGAGGTCCTTGAAGACGTGGGAAGGAAGGCCGAGGAAAAATCAGTCGAAGATTTGGTGGAAGTGCACTTTGACGAAAACGATCCAACTAAATTCTTCCTCTTGGGATCATCTTTGTCTAGCGCCGAGCAAGCGGATTATGTCAACTTCTTGGTTTCCAATTTGGAGGCCCTTGCCTGGATGCCTTACGACATGCCTGGCGCCGACCCGAGCTTCATCTGTCATCAGTTGAATGTTTTCCCCAACGCACGGCCTATCATTCAAAGGACGCGCCGTTCAGCCCTACACCATGCTGAAGTGGTGGCGGAAGAAGTGAAGAACTTGTTGGAAGCTGGGGCTATAGAAGAAGTGCAATACCCTCGGTGGATATCCAACACGGTGGTTGTTCCCAAGAAAAATGACAAGTGACGAGTCTGCGTTGACTACAAGACTGTCAACCGGGCTTGTCCTAAGGATAGCTTTCCCCTTCCTTGGATTGACCAGCTGGTGGACTTGACCGCTGGCCATCAGAGGTTTAGCTTCCTGGACGCTTATCGCTGCTACCACCAGCTAGCCATGTATAAACCGGACAGAGAGATTACATCGTTCACCACCCCCAAAGGATTATATTGTTACAAAGTCATGCCGTTCGGACTAAAGAACGCCGGAGCAACCTTTCAGCGGATGGTTACAAAAATGTTCGCTCCTCTCTTGGGCCGAACAATGGAGGCCTACATCGACGATATGGTGGTAAAGAGTAAGGAGAAGTTTGAACACCTCACCGACCTAGCAGAAATGTTCGCCATACTTAAGCACCATAAGCTTCGTCTGAACGCC